CGGAAGTTGATGTTTATGACATGTTCGCAGAAAAGCATTGCCGGGGCCGGAAGATAAAAATCGCTTTATGCCAAGGTGAATAAACTTATTTATAGTTTTGGTTACTAGTTTCTAATCTATGATGTGTTGTTTAGAATTGCAAGAGAGGATGGACGATCTTAAAGACGAGTTAGATTCGTTGCGATCTCAAAGTCATGACGAAGAGCATCAAAAAAAGGCCCTAGCAGTGTTGCAACGTGTAGAAAAATGGAATCTATTTGGAGACATCCACGAGGTATTGCATATTGAATCCGCAATTCTTCTTACATCACGCTTTTGCAGCACGTACAAAACTTCTCTGTTGCCAGGGATTCTTTTCTTGCTCATCTCGGCGCAACGCTAACAGCGGGTATGAAACATGTAATCACCCCTTCTACAGCAGAAGGAGCATTCCATTACTATGATAAAGTTTCTATTCAAATATACGTAATCACTGAAGAGGTATGGGTTCTCACTTGGCTCTATTTCATTGCTCGGGCTACTTGTTTTTTTTTTCTTTTTCAGAGAACTAGACATATCGGTTTGCTGCCTTTAGACATTTCCCAAGTAAAGGATGCGATTTCAACACTCAGACTTCCGTCCCAGACATTCCAATACAATGTTCACTTGTAAGAAGTGTTTTACTTGTTTGACGTTCTACTGAAACTCTGAACGTTTCAGGATAGGACTTTCTGAGGATCCGGCCCTGGCAATGGCATTCTCAGTTGCGCGCCGTGCCGCGGTTATACCTGTCTTGCAAATGAATGGCGCACACAGCCAATCAACTCGTAACTATCTAGACTCGATCATTCTCCAACACCAGCTCCAACAGTTAACCGCCAGAAGTCCGAGATCAGGTAGCACAGTTCTTACGTTCTTTTCACTCGATTCGCTCGGTTTGTTGTTTTCAGTTCCGAAGTCGACGCTGGAAGTGCCAGTGTTCTGGTTCATCAGATCGGATGAGTCTGTGTTTATTGACAAGCACTATTTGGCAAAGGCACTTCCGGATATGGTTATTGTTATGCAGTCTGCTCAATCATCGTGGCCAAGCCACCTACAATGCAATGGCAAATCAATCGATTGGGATGCAAGGTAAGTTCGTGCTTACATCTAGCTATAGATATGTTTTATATCATCGCTCCAGCTCACCTATCAAAGCCGCCGTTGCTGCCGTCGCGGAGCACTTGTCCGGCTTGATGCCAACACACCTGACTTATAGCCATGCACACGATAATGCCGACGAGGTGAGAACCTCCCTGGTTTCGTGATACCTTAAAACTGATCTTGCTCCGGCTAGGACTGGACGTGGTCCGCTGGAAACCATCCATTTTCTGGCACCTCAAGCGGCTACACGATATCGTCTCTCCACACGGACGCAATAGCCAGAAGTTACATCGTCTCCGCTCTGGACGAATCGGTGCAAGAGATGAACGCGGTGTTTGAACGACTGTCCAAAGAGCCAACCCGTAAGACAAGTCTTCTGTTTAGTTGCTTCCACAGGTGCTTAAGAGGTTCTACTTTTGCAGACGAGAGAGTGTTCAGACCATTTAAGTCGATGGAGCGTCAGTTACTGCAAGAATACAATTCAGTTGTGGGCATATGGAGACAAGTGAGTCACTTGAATCTTTTACAGTTATAGAACTAGCCAGCTGACGCCCGCTCCCAAATCATTCCAGATTTCTATCAACGTTGGGAAAGCAAGATTCGACGACGCTGTTCGGTCACTCTCATCACTGAGACATGCGTCTGAGAGGTAGAAATTCATTGAAACCATCTTCTATAGACTAAGTTACAATGGTGGTATTCTCAGATTAACACAGCAAACAGATGCGATAATCACCGCGCTGCACCCCTTACATTGTACCCAACACGGACACCTTCATGTTCCAACGGAGCTGTTTGCCTGTTTTGGGCTTGCGATGGTGGCTGTCATGCTGCGGTATGCATTGTGGCCGAGAAGATTAAAGCCCAAAATCAACTGAGATATATTTCCTAACTTTTTAAAAGCCAAGTCTGCTAAGAACTTCACCGAGAATTTTGAGAGAGACAAGGCGTTGGTAGTGTTGCGATCCTGTTTTCCCACCTTGTTTTCATATAGATATATACATGGTATCTATTACTATATGTTTTCCATTACTTAGTCTTTTCCGATACGCAACCGTTATCTCTGCAAAGCAGGCCTCTCTCACTCACTTGCGAACGGCATTTGATTTCCTCCCATGACCAGTTAGATTTGCCTGAAAAAGAAGAGCGTCAATCCAAAGTTTGCACTGCAATAAAAATTTTTAGGAAGGGCTTATAAACCTCAACCTTTATCATTCAATACAACCTTGACTCTCCAACCTTTATTTGCCCGTTTCATTAGGGTATATTAGGAATGGATAGTGAGGGCGACACAGGGGGAAGAGGTGGCAGCATACCAAATCCTTCGAGTTTGAAGGTCTTCCCGTTCATGACGCAGAGGTCCTGGCAGAGCGGCAACCCCATGGACAAGTTCTCCTCCGTCATGGATCCCCGCTGTGTCAGGGCTTTCGCGGTTTTCGGCCCACTCCGCTGCCTCCATTCCGCATTCCCATCCTTCCAAGAATCCAACTACCGAGCTATGTTCCAGCAAATCTTTCCAAGCCTGGTGCATGTTAAAAGCAGGATCCAAGATGGCGCTTTTCTTTTTCGACTGGAGCCAGGATACTCAGGCCTAGCTGCTGACTTCGTGCTGCGGACAATCTCGAAGAAGGCGCTGGAAGAATTCAAGGGCGAGCACGATGAGATCTTCTGGGACAACCCGGACAAGGAGGCACTCGCCAACGAGGTTTTTGACACCATACCACCCGAGAATGTTCGTTACGACGCGGTCATCGACTGTAAGACGGACAGTGTCAAGGATTGGAACGTGAAGACGCGCATGGAGCTGGCTTCCTACGGCAACCAGCTTTGCCTGGAGAATCTGCAAAATGGTTTCTCCCCGAGGCCCGTCTATCTTATTGCCATCGATGCAACAAGGTGGCGGCTGTCCGTCCTCGACCCTTACGGAGTCATCTCTGTCAACCCGTCCGGCTGCATCGACGGTTTCGCGTCCTTCGCTAAGCAACAGAAGCTTCGGGCCGAGTGGATCAGGAAGAAGGATCCGGATCGCGTTGGCTATTTCGCGAAAACTCGGCCTTGGACTGAGGAGAATCTGCAGGATCGCTTAGAGAACGTGAACAAGTTACTGACGGACAAGGGAAACATTAGCGGAGTGAAAGCCGGGAAGTACGTGGTGTCGAACATCTGGAATGCGCGTGAAGTTTTTCTCTGGAATGGTAGCGGCTTGGACGGAAAGCTTCTGGACGGATCATTGGTTCTCTGCGAGGGACTGCTCCGGCTCGCCTGCGGCGACAGAGTGTGCAAAGATGGATGGACAGCACAGAAGTTACGAATGGTATTCAAACGCCAGCACGACGAGGAAATCAATAGATGTCTTCAGTTCGAGAGGTCAGCATTATTTTGCGGCTGTGTCTCTTGCTAACTTTGTTCTGGGCATAGTGCATTCACAAATTCTCAGGCACGGAGTTTAGCATGTAAGCTTGTGCCTTATGTTGGTATTTTTGCTATACACGATTGTGCAGGTTCCTACTCCGAGAATGTTATAGCTGCTGCAGTCGCTGACATGGAGGCTATGACACGGGTTCCAGCAGACGGCTTCAGGCACGGATTCATAGATTCGATCGAGACAGTGCGAGGATGTTTGAGGGAAATGGCGAGAGTACCATCCACTGCATCTCATTTCCTGACGGTAATACAGCTTATACAGTTCGCTTACTCTCTCCAGGTTTGATTTACTTGATCATCAGCTTGGCCGTTTGTACGGGGGAGAGGAATTTCTAGAGCTTCTGGATGATCAGGCCAGAGTCAAGATTGGAACCTCAATTCGTCACATCATAGTTGATGTAAGAATTTGTTTTTTTTTCTTGTCCTCCTTTCTATCAGTTATCCTGTTTGGATTCTTTTGCATAGAATGATATAGCGGAGGACGATGCTGTAGAATGCTTCGACGCGTTGGTGATCTCTGTTGAGCGAGTACTCAAGAGTTTTAATCAAGAGATGGTAGTCACACAAGACTACACGGTTCTGCTGTGCAATGACACGTCTACCTTAGACCGTTTTTGGCACAAACTCTTTCAGGGTGTAAGGCTCTATTGTTCCGTTTTGAACAGGCTTTATGCTATGTTTTTTCAGGCGTACGCACGGCTTGTAGTTTTTGCAAAGAATGTGGATAAAGGGCACATGCTCAAGAATGTAAAGGTAAGTGTGGCTTTTGCGAATAAATCTTGAGATGAGCATCGTGATTGTTGCAGTCTAACATTGCGATTCTGAAAGTGCGCAACGAGAGCTTGAATGCTTTACGGACTTATTTGGGTGTTGAGGTAAAACGACGTCTCGTTTGCTCATTTTCCTTTCCTCACTTGCATTTGTTGTTGCTGGAAGCTTGTGGATAATCAAAAAGCGGATTTTATCAGCTGTCGCGGGAGAGCTAACAAGGTAATATATCAAGCTCGCAGTTTTTATAAGTTTCTACATGCTTGAGCCTTCTTGCAGCTTGTAATGTGCAGGAATGAGGTGATTGTTTACCGGTCGGGTAATGTCTCGGAGAATCAGCCCCTGAGCAGTGTTTTGGAGTTGCGGGTAAGATGAGTTTTCTCGAGCAGTGCTGATTGTTAGTTCGCAGGTTAGCGGTGCTACTCGCGATCACTTCCATGAGAGGGTGGGACGTATGCAAAAAGCAGCAACAGCCATAAATTCTTCTATAGCGAAAGGACTTATAGCTGGTTAGTATCATTTCCCTGCCTCTTTCTCTTGTTGAGCGTGTATGATCTGCAGGGAGTGGTGTTGCGTTTGCTGCAGCGTTGTGGCCACTCGAACCATCCAAACGTGACGATGCTTCTGATTCGGATGCTGGAGCTCGCATTGTTACAAAGGCTCTGAGCGTAAGCAACCCCGTCTAGATTTGTTTCTCTTGATCAAAGCTTTTCTCTTCCCACAGGTGGTGCTAGAACTGTCACCTTCCATCTCCAAATCTTTGGAGGTCGCTCACTGCAAAGCAAGGATTTTCCAGCTGAGCTCGGAGACCGAGTTTGGCATCGCTCTGGAACGCGGAGAAGTCGATCTTTTGGAATCGGCGGAGGAGACGCTGGAGGAGCTGGAAAAGCTCTTCCACTGCTCCCTCTCGGTGCTCCACAAGAGGTTAAGACCCGATGAAGTTAAAAAGGTGGGTCAAAATATTATATTTGGCAAAGAAGGAAGAAAGGTGACAAAAACAAAGGTCTTGAGATCATCAAAATAATCGCTCGCATTTTTCTACATGACTATCAGATCAGCGTCACTGGTGGTTCCTAAACCTTGGGGATCGCTCCACTTCCATCCGGAGCGCTGCCACTCTTCTTTTCTCCTTGAATTGCATCGCTCAGTCCTGCGTTCTTCTTTGATCTGGTGTTCTTCGTCGCTGCTCCATCCGTGGCACTGTCATTCTTCTGTGCTCCTTGGATTGCATCGCTCACCCCCGCGTTCTTCTTTGATCTCGTCTTCTTCACCGCTGCTCCAACGTTCTCCGCCCCCCCGGCAGCCTCGTTCTTCTCTGGCGGCGATGGTGCCACCGTCTTCGTCTTCCTCTTTGCGGCTTCCTTCACAGTCTTCTCGGCAGCCGGAGCATTCGCCACAGCAGCTTTGTCCTCCTGTTTGGTTGCTGCTGCCTTCTTCTTGTTTGCTCCAGCGGGTGGCTTCGTCGCCACTGTCTTCGATGAAACTTGATCCTTGACAGGCAATGCCTTCTTCACGGTTGCTTTCTTGGCAGCGGCCACGGGCTCGTCCGGACCTGGCTTCTTCACGGCCCTTGATGTCTTGGCCTTGCCGGCATTGCTAGCTCCTTCCGGTTTCTCCTTCGCCTGTGCTTTACCACCAGAACTAGCGCCCGATGTTGCTGCTTTGCTCTTCTTGCCGCTAGGAGCTTTCTTCTCTTCCTCGGCAGGCTGGTCGATCCAACTGTGAAAACAAAACGAAAACGTTCGACTGATCATCGAGGAGGAAACCCAACGTGAAAACGAGAGAGAAACTAGATCACACCTGAAGAACTTGCATCGCTGCTTGCTCTTCTGGGCGGCGTCCAGCTTGATGAAGAGGAACCAAGGGACGGACTCGGCGCAGCAAAGGTAGCGGAGGCCGGGATTCTTCACTTTGCTCATCTTGAGAACCGCGGGCTTTCCACAGTCGCAAAGAACGCTCTCTCCATCCCACTCCAGGGCCTGGACTTTCGTCGCCGTGAGCTTCTCCTTCGCGCTAGCGGCAGCGATGGGTTTCTTACCCGCATTCTTCGCCCCGGCCGCAGTGCCTTTGAGCCTGATCCCACCGCCAGCGATCCAGCGAAGAAGCGGAGGCTCTTCGACTGGCGAGACGCACCCAGCGATGCTACCCCTGCCAAGAAGAAAGCGTAAGCTTTGCTACATTTCCACATATTTCGATCGATCGACCGGCATTTTCTTTCCTCTTGCATGCTGCCGATCAATCGATCGATCGAGCGCTCGCTGGAAGAGATTACTTACCCGGGCCGGAGAGATCGTCCAAGCGCCGAGGAGCGAAGGCGGAAGCGCAGCAGCATTCTCTTCTTCCCTACCTCCTCTCGCTCACACTGAAAAAAATAAAACAGGGTTTTGTGACTGACACGCGTCAGTGGGGCCGTGAGTTAAGATTCTCCGAATCCACGGGTCTAAATCAAATGTACGGAGGAATGTCCTACAACAATCAATCAAACCGTATTGTCATTGCTATTGTCAAGCATGACAAAATCACTTCAACTCTCGAAGATCACGAACATTATGCGTAGTTGAAGAGAGGTGATGATAACAGGAAAATGCCAAAACACTCTCTAGGATCTTATGCTCCTTGGAAGCCTCAATTTCTAAGTGATAATTGTGTGTTATAAAATCTTATGCAAAGGCTATCTTCATTGACTTTAAGATCACAAAAGTAACTTTAGTTGTCATTTTCACCAAAAATGGCTGTGCAACTGGATACGGAGCTTGTGTAGATGAGAATGGTAGATTATTAAGATTTTTTTATCAACATAATGCCATTGGGCTCTAATTAGCAAAATAATTAGAGAGTAGTTTTATGTATATTTAATTTTACATACAGCTTTGTAAGAGAATATATCTTGGTAGAGATTTTTAAATCAAGTATATATGTTTACTTTTTTTTTCAAACTAGCCTAATGAATTGTCCCTTATATTCAAATTTTTAGCATCTTTATGAAAGACAGTTGTTATTAAGTGAAAACAATAATTGGTTTACTTAAGCAGGGACTGTAGTGAACATACCTAGAATATACTTTGATATTCTAGGATATTCTACTATTTAACGGTTGTTCTTCATTTAGACTCATCTTGTATTTTTAATTTATAACACTTGTTTGTATATTCTTTTTTATTCTACCATCTAATGGTTGATATGCAATAAACTTAATCTTGTGTTTATGAAATATAAACATGTTTATAATTATAAAATTTTATTTGATCAATTGGATTAATAAGTAAGAATAACATTACTATTAAGCAAACCAAGCTTTGCTACATGTAAAACATAACAAATTATTTTGATTATTTCATAACACCTTTCACTTAATAATTTTACAAAGCTTCATCCCTATATTTACAGTTTAAAACTTAAAATATTTTAATAAAAAATTAATAATTTAATATATTATAAAGAAAATAATAATACCTTCTGCTCTAATAAAAAAGAGCATATAAGTTTTATCTAGTATTATGTGAAACACAATTATTGAGGAAATGAATAAATACAAATTATGATATAGATTTAGATTTTAGAAGTATCCAAAATTTTACAGGCTTTTAATTTATATAATTTAGTATTAAAATATTTAAATGTTTAATTTGCTCTGAATGCAAATGAAATTATTATTGGTTTGTGTAAATGACATAAAATAAGTTTTTAAAAAATATTTATTATGAAAAATGGTTAAAAAAGTAGGAATTAAGTTCAATATATATATATATATATATATATATATATATATATATATTAGTATAGTTTAAGATTTATTTCAAAATAATATATGTTAAATTTTTTGTTAAAAGATACTCTTTGAGTTTTTCTTTGCATGAGATGGGGATACCTTTCATAACATAACATGTATTCGGATATGATGCAATAGATTAAGTGGAGTGTTTAAGTTTTTATATGGTTTTTAACTTTTAAAATATATATTATTAAAAAGTAGTTTTGAAGTTAATAAAAAAACCATTAAAATAAATTAATGAATATTTTTAATTATGAATGAATATTTTTTTGAAAGAAATATTTTTTATCTTTCTTGTTGCACCTATATAATTCTTTAGTTGGTCCTTGCCTAAAGCTAATTAAAGCAATTATTTGACATTTACAAACTCAATCAAGTTTCAATAATTTTCAAAATAATTAATAATTTCATAATTAATTATTAAAATCACTAAAATAAATAACAGCTATTAAAAACTTCATGTCCATATGACTTAATATTTTATATATTTGTGAATTATTAATTTTAAAAAAATATTTAAATAAAGAATAAAATATAATAAAGTAAATTCTCTTTATTTTGTTAAAATCAACAAAGTTCAATTTGAATTATATTTTCACTTATGCAATAAATATTTTATTTTACCATTATAATATAATTTATAATAGTATTGGTGGTATATCAAACTTTTTTATACATATTATTAATATTTTTAATATCTTTAGAAGCAATCAAAATTAAACTGAACTTTAAAGTCTACTAACGTTTTCTCTTTATTTTATAAACTATTCAATACATTTACAAACATTTTCATCCACCAAATATTTGAATCAATCAATCTCATATTACGTAGCACAAAATAACAGGTAAAAATTCTATAAGAAAAATAAATTAATTGTTTTCTTTAAGCTCGCAATCTGCTCGGCAGTCCAATGCCCAGGCCGGCAGGAGCGCTGCTCGAGTTCCCTTGTCCATTCCTGTAATCCTGCTGCTGCTCATTTTTCAATTGCTGCTGCTGGTTTTGCTGGTTTTGATGGTGATGGTGGTGATGATGGTTGTGCGAGCAGCGAGTGGCATGACCTCCTCCCGAGCTTAGAATTCCTGGTGTTTGTTCAGCCATCTCGATTGTTGCCGCCACCGCGGCGGCTGCTGCTGGATCCGACTCGTTTTGCTGCCAAGCCTGCTCGATGTCTTCGTTGTAGCCCAAGAGCAGGAAATTGCTGCAGTTCTTCCAAAACCCGTGGTCGTAAGGATTGAAGAACAGGCCGTCGGGTCCTCTAAGGTATACATATCGGGCCGCATTTGCCATCTCGTTGGTCGTGATGTTCCTCGCAATCTGTGAAACAGAAGATCAAGTACAGGTTGGCGTGACGAAGAGCTGAGATAGCTTTTATACCTGAGCGGCTTGTATTCCCGTAAAGATCGCCACTCCGAAAAAAAGAAAGAAATCTGCAAGAACGAAAGATAGAGCACCTACGTGGTGGGATGCTACGTGCCGTAACCAGTCTCCTGGAGTGGACGGAGCATTTGGATCTGTTTTTAGTCCTGCCGAGTGCTGTGTTAGAGGAGGCGCAAGTAACCGGGAACAAAATCAACTTACTGTGCACGGTCACCGCACCAGCAACAATCATACCGGTGGTTTCACAACACAAAAAGAGGAAGAAATCCCATTTGTTTCTCTGCCGTGTAGGAACAAGAGTTGATACTTCTGGTAGAAGTGCTGTAAGCTTACCTTCCCAACACAGTTTGATATCCAAGGACAATGGTGATCGAACTGCTCTACACAGCGGTTGCAAATCGAACAGTGCTTGGATCTTACAGGCCTCACTATCTGCAATAAAAATTTGCTCACAACGACTAAAAGATGAAAGCAAAAATTAGTCTACCTTACAAGTTGGACAAAGCTGCGACCAAAAGCCAGCCCAAAGCGCGGATGTATTCAAATCGCTTTTCAGTAGAGAATCCTGGACAACAGAGTATACGTCAAAAGAAGAGCTGAAAATGTCGCGAGATAATCCAAATACTTACAGTCATGTGCTTTCCAAATGGATCATCGCCACGCTTTTTGCTAACATATCCAGGGTCTTTGCTGCAATACAAAATCGAAACGGTAGAATTATCTAGGATCAGAGAAAGTAATACCTGGTACAGCGATAGAGAAACACAAGACCTCCAGTAACAACGAAAACCGCAAACCACGCCCAAGCACCCGCGATACCTTGTACAGTCAACAACGTCGAAGCTGCAGAAGCCGGAGTTAATACAAGATCAAAACTGGAAGACGGTAAGAGGCAGACTTACAGGTTATTACAGAGTTGATGTAGGTGATGAGCAAGACGGTGACCAGCAGCCAGAGAAATGGCGCAAGTCCCAGCCTTGAAACTCGTCCCATTACGCCCTTGGAATCCCAATGGTGATTGAATATCCTCCTCGCATTTGACTGTGAGCAAAAACCAGGTTAGAAAGAAGCAAAGAATCGGAAAAGGAAGAACAAAGAGCTAGCTCACCAAAAACAAAGCAACGTGCCTGTGTCCCTTGTCAGCAGCAAGTTGAGCAGGAGTACAGCCACTTCCTTCCGTGATTGTCAAATCTTCTTTGGTTCCAGCTTGGACAAGAACAGTGCAAGCCTCCAAGTTGCCTCGAATGGCCGCCCAGTGTAGCGGGGTGCATCCTACTCGAAAGTAGCCAAACTGTTACTAAAGAAAAACAGGCGGCTGCTTATAACATCCACCTTCTTTGTCCTGGCGCCGAACGAAAGCATCCATAAAAAGTAGGAGACGTATGCTATCTGGAAAGCCTTTGTACGAGGCCCTGGAAAACCAAGAACAAAACTCAGCTGAAAAAAAGAGAAAGAAGTATCGCAACTTACCAATGCAAGGGACTTCTTCCATCCTTGTCGGTGGCATCAACCTCAGCACCCCACTTTGAAATCAAATGGTACAAGAGAGCAGTCTGTCCGTATTGAGCAGAGACATGGCTTGGCTGCATTCATCGTACACATCAAGCGTAAGAAAGATCACGCCACAGCAGCTAACTCGATAGAGCAATCTCCGAGAGAGAAAAATGGAAGAAACAAAGAGTGAAAGAAATACCCTGTAGCCGTAATTGTCAGCACCCTCGAGCTTGGCTCCATTCTGGAGAAGAAGCTCCGAGACGTGAATGGATCCTCGGACAGCAGCCCAGTGTAACGCGGTTTGCCCCGCCGCATCCGTGGCATCCACCGACGCACCGTGCTGCGCGAAAACAAGCCAGATCGAGCGATTGCAGGCGAAATCTCCACTCACCTCGATGAGATATTGAGCAGCCGCGACGCGATTGTTGAGAGCGCTCCACTGTAGAGCGAAATATCCGCCGTGATCGGGCGCCGAGACGGAGCATCCATCCTGTTCTACCAGGCGCCGCAGCTTGTCCAGATCGCCGTAAGCCGCCGCCGTGTAGACGTCGTTCTTGACCGGCTCTTGATCTTCCTTGGAGCGGCAGAGCTCGCCATTCACCGTGACCTGCTCTTGAACTGGCACAGCCTCCGTCACGACCTCCACAATCTCCTGCGCCATGCCCTGGAGCTCTCCTCTCTAGCTCTCATCCATAGCTACGACCTTGCCCTAATGTCATGCCGACGTGGCACACAAGCCTTATCTGGCATCCACACCAGCGCCACGTATGAATTATAACAGCCTAGTCACAGAAGATAACGGCTAGTTAAACAATCAGTATAAAGATAGAGCCAATGTTTAGGGTTTATTGACCTTTTGCAAATGGTACCAGAGGAGATATGGACGGTGATTTTGTCAAGGGCGGAGAAGGGCACTCGACAAGGCTTGCAAGACGTGTCTATAGAGTGGAATGAAGTGTTGGACAAGATGGTAGAATTGCCTTATGAAATATTAGGGATCAAGGCACTTCCATGCCCAATTGGTGGTGGTAAACCGTGGGAAGTCGTGTGTTGTATCGAGGGGTTTGTGATCATGTACTCTCGAGAGCTTGGGCAAGCTCATCTTGTTAACTTTTCTGAGAGGAGCTGCATGCAAATTACGAGGGATCTTTGCACCACCACCTTTTCAAGCAATCCCCAAATGGTGTACCTTAGAGGTTGCCTCTATGTAGCAATAGATGGCAAGGCACTAAGAAAATATGATTTAGGTGCAAAGGAGTGGAGTATTTTAGCAGAATTCCCTAGCAATTGCAGACTTGAGAAACTGCTTGTGTTTCAAGATGGAATTGTGGGTGTTTTTGAGCATATAACTTTCAAAATAGTGAAAACAGTGAATTTGGAATGTAGATTTTTGGATTTGAATAGTTGTGGAAGGGTTTGGAGACAACCTTTTACCACCAGTGTGGTTGAGAGTGGCATAATGCCAGCGATGGCAGTTTTACACAAGGTATTATTGGTGAAAATGGAATGGTTCAAAGACAGTGGTGGAAATTGGCTTTACTTTTGGAATGAGGATACTGCTTCTTGGGAGTGTTTATCTGGCAAGCTGGATGGAGAGCCAATAAAGCAGTTGGTGGTGGTAAAAGATAACGAGCTACATGCATATGGTTGTCACAGGACGGTTTCAAAGTGCCAGTTTGACTGGAATATTGAAAATGAGCGATTTTCTGGAGTGAAATGGGTGAGGGTTTCTGGACGTGTCTGCAACAAGCCCATCAAATTCTTGTCAAATGTTCCCTACAAGTTGGGAAACATGAAATTTGTAAGGCAGACATATCCATGCTCAATGTAGTTCTTTTCAGCCATGTAAAAACTAGTAATCCAAAGTATTTTTGAGATACGGAAAAAAAAATGCTGGTGGGAGGATCACACTCGTGCAATCCAGCTGTTGCACTGTTGCAGGTTCTGAATCCAGAATCCAGAAATTCAGAATTTCTGGATTGCGGAATCCAGAAAATCGTATATGGTATCATCATAGAAGTCGTAGTAGATGATTCACTCGCTTCTTGATTCAGAGGTCATTTTTTCATGCGCAGTCAAGCAACAACGTGATTTTGACCAAAACTGTTATCAAGATATCTTAAATGTTGGATGCTTTTCCCAGAACTTGGGTTCTCGCAACGGTGCGCAGTGATCTCCAGGGACAGGGACAACTTTCAAGATATATTTAGTCACGTTTGCATGTCGAGGACTCAATTGTTTGGTTTGCACGGAACGTTTTATACAAAGCCGGGATATAAAAATTTTGTAATTTGGAAACCCACGGCTCAAGTTCATGCTGTGGATATGAAGGGCAATCAACAGGATCTCAGTTCCAACAAGCTCATCAACTGCTTTGGATGGAGGAGTAGCAGCAACAATGCCAACAAGATCAAGTCCAAGAAGAATGCTCAAACTTCATATGAGAAAATCAAGCAAGTCACACATCAACAATCAATAATTGTTCCATCCTTTGCGGTTGCAGTCAATGCTGCAACACCATCTTCAAGATCTCTTTCCTTTCTGTTTATTTAAGAAATGTTGCCCATGCAACTCCAGGCATACTCACCAAGAGATCCTTGGCCTCTTTGCAGCGAGGCAGAAGTTAAAGGCCAATGGGAAAGCAAAAAAGAGCTTAGTTACAACGTTTGCATGCTATCATCCACTCGCTAAAGTTGGGAGCAACGTGGCAGCACGTCTGTTTTTCGAAGCTGCATTATATTCTGGACCTTGGACCTTGCAAAGGTATGTAGTTTGATTCCCTCCAAATCCAGCGACATAGCCATATGGCGACGTTCTTGTTTTGTTTTGCAGTCTTGTACGCATCTATGTCTACTCTACAAGTTTTGTCTTCCAATCCCGATCCTGTCCGGGACTTTTGTGTAGCGGACCTCGACTATCCGCAGCTCAACGAGTATCCCTGCAAGCCGTATGCCAACGTGACGATCGACGACTTCGTCTTCAGCGGCTTGCTCACTCCTGCCGACCCCAGCCTGGGCCCCTCGGGCACCAGCGTCACTCCAGCCTTCGTCGAGACTTTCCCGGGACTCCACACGCAGGGCTTCGCGTTTGCTCGGCTCGACTTTGTGGAGGGTGGCCTCATCCCGCCTCACACGCATCCTCGCGCCTCCGAGTTCGTCTACATCACCCGGGGTCGCTTGTACGCTGGATTCATCGACACAGCCAACAGGGCGTTTGCGAGAGTTTACTCCAAGGGCGAGGTGATGATCTTCCCGAGGGGTCTCATCCACTGGCAGCTCAATGTGGGAGAGGGTCCAGCGTCGGCTTTTGCAGTGCTAAACAGCGAGAAGCCCGGGTTTCAGACCATAGCCCCGTCCATGTTCGGGAGTGGTGTCGCGGAAGAAGTTCTCCAAAAGGCATTTCGGCTGGACGAACAGGCTTGTCGAAGAGTTTGTTCCCATCGCTGAATTCATCCGAGACACGGTAAGGTCGTGATTAGATTCATTGTAGAACAATAATACATATTATAAATTCTTCAAATGGTATCTAGTCCACTTTCATCTTAGAAATACTTTCGATTTGCATGGCGGCGACCTTTCGACCTACTTGTTAACTCGCAGTGAATGGCAGTAAAGGTGATCGGTGATCGGCAACAAAATGGCAGCATTGTTTTGCTTTCCAGCCTTGTTCTTCTCTGCAAGTTTCATGCTCGGATCGCGATCCACTCCATGATTTTTGCGTCGCGGACCTATCTATCAATTCTCCAAAGTTGTGCTCAAATCTCTTCTTTGAAGCCGATGCCAACAGAACAAAACGAAGGGGTTTTAGGGGTTTACGGAGCACGAGGATACTAGAGAATCAACTTATTAATTATAGAATTTGGAGAGGGCCGCGCGTACGCGAGCCCTCAACTTCCACAAATTACGACGTCCACTCCTCCACTTTGGGAAGATGGTAGGCCGGCCAAGCCAGAGTGCAATGGGAAGGCCGAACCTAGGCCATTGGCCTTCATGATCACCAATAAACCCCGTCCAGGTAAGTATGGATCACTTCCCCAGGCCCTGGCTTATATACTGCTCTTGTGCCTTTATTCCACGCCTCGGCATGTGGGATAGGGCAAAGAATCGGCGTAGCATATCCTTGGTCAAACCACCCTAGCCAATGGTCAAGCGGTCAACATTTTGCGGGGAAGGACCGCTGGATTGCTTGCAGATGATATCCACCTGAAAGCTCACGACAGATTCATCGCTCAGTTTCGCCGGCCGTGGGGATCGAACCCACGACCACAAGGTTAAGAGCCTTGCGCTCTACCAGCTGAGCTAGGCCGGCTTATATTAATGGTTAATCATTGACATAGATAGAGCTTGTATCCCAGGCCATTGACCGTGAAGATGTTGGTGACAATGATCCTGAGAGGCAGCTTTGCGATCCAGCGGATGATCAATAGACGCTGATGGTCTGTCGTCAAAAAGGATAGTGAGAGGTCTTGATCCCATCGAAAAAGAGGTACTCCGGAGCTGATCCTCCTGAGATGATCTTGGTCATCTGCCTAGGCTTGCATTCATCAAAGAATTCTAATGTTCATTGTTGGGTTATACAAGATAAGAATCTTCCAACGTTGACAGTATATCCGTTTATATTGTTTTGAATCAATCCACATGGTGCGTCACAACATTGTAAATGTTGGTCGTCAGTCCAAGGAAGCTGGCCACCCCAGCAAGGACAAGCATTGTCCACGCCAGACACTCCAATCCCTTCTCCCTCGCCTTGCTCAACCTCAACGCCACCAGCGCCGGGAACATAAATCCCAGAGACAGCCCCGCGGTGGCCCCCGTGAACTGGAACGCGATCCAGATGTTTGGGATGAAGGCCGATCCCACAAACACGATCGCGAGCAGCGACGCCGTGAGAGCCCAGAACCTGACCGTGCTGTCGGCGAGCTGCTGCTTTGGATCCGGGAAGAGGATCGCGTCTACGTTTTGCCGGAGGGAGAAGTGGATCACCGGGAAGACGAGCATGAGATGGAGGACGTAGCCGATGCGAATGACGTCGTTGATGAGCGTGCTGTCCGCGATCCCCAGGTCGTGGTCGAAGTTGGAGAGGATGTCCGAGGCCGTGGACTCGCCAAAGAGGAGGTAGCCCGACAGCGCGGTGGCGATGTAGACGCTCATGCACAGGAGCGTGGAGATCCGGCCAACTTTGTTCATCCTAGCCGCAGACCTGTTCTTGAGCTCGCAGTAGATCGGCTGGATGTTGAAGTGGCAGATGAATGCGTTGGTCATGATCGGGACAACGGTGAGGAGCTCCAGCACCGATTTCCTGGATGCCAGCGACGGAAGTGACCGCGGAGTCGTGAGCTTTCCCTGGATCCCTTTCACCACCGCCACCCCGGAGCTGAGGATGACGAACACCACCGCTAGAGCTACCGAAGCCGCGGAGGAGAAGCGGAGTGAATCGATGCGCTTCAGCGACGAGAGCGGCGCTAGGACGAGCAACATGGTGGCGAGGAGCACCAATCTTCTGTCCAAGCTCTTGAGGAGGCCCGGGTGGTGGGAAGAGCCACTGGAAGATCCCGAGAGAACATCACCTATGATGATCAAGTAAACGATGAGAATGCCACTGTTGTTGACTATGATACACACCTGCGAGACGAGCTTCCCTGCTCGTCCACACGCCGCGCCTACCATCTCACCATAGCTCCAGGCCTTGAGTTGCGTCGAGAACCTCACCACAATCTCCAAGCTAATCTCTGAGAGCACGCCCATCGCCAGGATCATCGCCACGCCCAGCGGAACCCCCAAAACTCTCATCGTCGCTGGCAGCGCCATGATCCCCGCGCCGATGATCGACGTCGCGAGGTTGAAAACGGCGCCAGCGACGCCAGATCCCGAGCTACTGCTGCTGGATTGCCGTTCACCTGTGGATATTTCCAGGATCGAGTAGCCCGTCGCGGATCCATTGCCGGGAGCGCCGAATTGCGCCGGCGCTGCTCCATTGGCGTCGGATCTATGATATTTCGAGGATTCCAGCAGCTGCGCCTCCTCCTCCTTCCCAGGATCTACCTGAGGGACTGAAGAACTTGGCAACATTACCTAGAGCCCTAGTAACAGAGTTTTAGGTCATTGTGGCTATGGAGGTCTAGGATTAGTGAAAGGCTTCTCGAGCTCGGTCAATCGATCACTCATTTCTTCACTGATCGTGAATTTCTTGCGCAAGGTGAGGCCATCCAAGGGTTTAAGGCCATGGGAAGGCTGTGCTTGATCCACCTCGATGGCAAAATCTACAGCTGCCGCATTTGCCACAGCCATCTCGCGACGCCCGGCGATCTCATGGCAAAGGCATCCTCGATCTCCTCAAATTCTTTCAGATTATCCGTGTTCCTTGTTTCTTGCAGAATTTCCACTGCCGCCATGGGACGGCCTATCTTTTCAAGACAGTGTAAGACGATAGAGAGAGTTTTTGGAAGTTTGAGCTCTTTCTCATGGATTTTTTTTCTTCAGGGTGAATGTGGGGATTGGAAAGCTCGAAGAGCGACAGATGACAACTGGATTGCACACGGTCGCGGACATCTATTGCATTTGCTGCCGGAAGATCTTGGGCTGGAAATATGTAAGTAATCAATCAGCGAAGAAAAGAGTGGCAAGTTTGGGAAGAACTGTGAGTGAGATCTTTGCAGGTGACTGCCCAGGTGAACGATCAAAAGTACAAGGAGGGCAAGTTCATTCTCGAGAGGTGAACTGATGCTTGATCGATTCGATTCGATTCGATTTGGTTCTTTTTTTCGTGTTTGATGACTTCTAGGAAGATGATCGCTGGTGGGGAAGGCCATGAGCTCCGCGACGAAGAAGTTTTAGGGAGTGATGGAGACGAGTGACGTGATTATTAAAATAATTAGTATATTCATGTAAATACCGCTAATTAAGTCTGGGTGGTGTAGTTGGTTATCATGCTAGTCTTACACACTAGAGGTCCCCAGTTCGACCCTGGGCTCAGACACGCTTGCGAAAATTTTCAAGGGTATTGAAAATTTTGATACTTCGTCTATCTTATCAAAAGAAATATACAACCGTACCTTTCGAGAATGGAGGAAAAATTCGTATCATCGAAATGGTCCATGATCTTGCACTAGTTTCTAGGATGGCGAGAGTGACGAGTGACGAGACCGCCGCGCTTTCGTCCAAAGCTGATGCTTTGGGGGACGTGATCGCTCTCGGCAGCAGTGGTGAGCTTGGAGATGGCGCTGGAGAGCTCGTCCACATCCACACTCATGGCCGCTTCCTCAGGCTTTGGAGCCGAGTCCATGTAGCTCTTGGCCTTGAAACGCTGCCGCTGCTTCTGCGATGGATGATTCTTGGTGCTCTTGTGGAAGTGGAAGCTGGACGGGAACTTGTGCTTGTCTACCAGGTGCTGCTTCCGAGATTTGTCCGAGAAGAACACGCCGGGGCATCCTTCCACAAGGCACTCGTACTGGGGAAAGGAAAAAAAACAATGCATTAGAACTGAAAGAAGAAGAGAATCGAAAGCTTATAAGAACTTGCGTGAAAGAAGGAACTAAAAGTTTGATCGAGCTTGAGCTTACCATGGGATGATTTCGAGCCACTTTGGCTTTGAAGAAAGAGTCATGAGTTTCGGAAATGTGTAGACTGAGGAGCCGCTTTGTTGGGAAGCACGAGGAGCAAACCGAGCACACCGCCGTGTGGCGAATGAGGTGGTGGTTTTCCAGCTCTTCCACGCCTCGCAGCTGAGCGCCACAGCCAGCGATGGAGCAATTCACGAGCCTGGACGGATGGATCGAGCAACGAGAAGAAGAAAGAATCAAAATGCTGCCACAAATTCGATCACACCATACATACCAGCAGTCTTCGTCCTCGATCCGACCAATGTATGCTCTCTCCTCCTCGGAAATATTGAGCGAGACCTAGGGAAGAAAGAAGCGCGGACGAAACGGGCCAGCGATCGAGCAAGGGCAAGAGATTTCGAGATCACCTGCTTCGCCTGAAGCTCTCGCTCCACATTCCCTGCATTGAAGAAGGCGTCATCGGGCGAGAATCTTCGCCGGCAAGCGCTCCAAGCGGGAAATGCTCCCATCGCAGAAGAACTAGGGTTCTTCGCTGAAATTAAATTAAATCATGAAATTAATGCCAGTAAATATTCGTAGAATATACTCTAGCAGCAATATTTCGTTATAGAGCCCTAATCTATCGGTTTTGCTGTAGAATATACTAGATATTCTCATGATAAACTAAAGTCGATTTATTTTTTATTCGGGTCCCTCTGGAATCGCAGGCCCGGCTGGCCTGTACGCCTCTTGCAGCCTCTGCGTTCCTCCTCCTCCACCGCCGCCGCCACCTCCAGACTCGAGGTTGAGTTGCTTGATGTAGCTCACCAGTTGCCTCACCGTCTCGTCGTGCGATCCCAGCCTCTTGCGCAGGATCTTCAGCGCGCGGTTGTAGTAGCTGCACGCTTCTCCCGGGCTCTTCATGGCGATGCTTACGTCTCCCAAGTACTTGAGCGTCTGCCAAGCATAGAGCAGTGAGTGTCAAGAAGTAAACAAGAGCATCATCATCCCCTGGAGAAAAAATGGATACCTCGGCAACGATGACGCTGCCACCGCCGTGCTGCGTCCGCTGCATTTGCACCAGCTCCTCAAACGTCTGGAGCGCTGGCTGCAAATCGCCCATGTCGTAGAGGGTGATCCCTTGCTGCTTCATAACTTGCAGCGTTAGCGGGTGCTCTCCGCCCGTGTCGTGCTGTTGCTCGCAAAACTGTGCAGCCTTTTTGAGGACTTTCAAGGCTTCTTCGTACTTCTGCACAGTCGAGGAAGAAAAATTGAGAATCAATCTGCCGTGCTTACCTTGACTTTGTGATACGTGAAGCCAAGCTCGTAGTTAAGTTGTGCGATTGCTGGCTCGTTCGGAAATGCGCAAGAAGTGTAGATTGCAAGAGCTTTCTGGTAGCACTCGACGGCATCCTCGTGCCTCGTCTGTTTCCCGCGAGTCTGTCACATGCCAGTGGCACCTGAATACACACCAGGATGCGCACAGAGACTTTGAAGGGCTCGTTACCCTGGCTATCTTGGTGAAGATTGACGCCAGAGAAAGCTTTGGAGGTTGCTCTTCGGCAGGAACTGGAGGACCATCAGTATCGTTTTGGACGAGCTCCCTTGCCTCTAGCCAAAACACAAGTTGGAAAGGCCTTAATTAATGAGAACCCGGAGACGAGCTTGATAGCCACCTTGTGATACTCCTCGATGGCCTTCTCGAACTCATTGCGCTCGTAATCGATGACGCTCATGACCACGCCGGATTCATCCCGCGGTTGGGGCGACTTCCTGGCGGGACCTCCATCTCTACTTTCTCCTTGGTAAATGTAGTAGTCACCGTAAGCTTCATGAATCGCGGCATTTGAAACATCCTGTAAAATGCAGAGAGTTGCAGAAACTTAAACATGAGAAGCTTGGCTTTTGAGACCTCCTCTCCATGAAGATCTTGGTTGACAACGAGCGCCCTTTGAAGATAGTTGATGCAATTGAGATCTCCTTCTGCACTGCAAGCATCACATTTCCGAAACGTTGTGAGTAGCACCATACATACTTTGTAAGAGTCCTTTGGCAAGCCCGAGAAGAGCTAGAACGAGCAGATTGCTAGATGATTCGCCACCTCTTCTGGGATCACAAAGCTCCATTGCCTGGAAAACAGAAGAAAAAAACATGTGAACATGTGAAACATGCCCACGATCGTTACCTTCTGTGCATGCCAGCAAGCTTGATCTGAATACGTCTGGCTTCACACGAAAACGCAAGCATCAGCGATTTGTCCAAGAAGCAATCCACTTACAAAGATCGCATGGAGTGGATTATTTGTTCTTTTGAATTTTCAGATGGAAGGTACCATCTCAAGGTAAGTGCTGCTCAGATTAAGGTGCGCCTTGGCCAGCAAATCCTCCGACTCCACCAGCACCGTCGTCGGATCCCCCAAGCACAATTTCGCGAGCGCCACGCCCTGGAACCGCGAGATTACACCCCTCCCGGGCGGCGCAAGGAGGATTCTCACCTGCATTCGAAGATAGAGAGCCTTGTCGTAATCCCCCATCTCCATGGCGTGCGCCGCCTCCTCCTCCACGCATTGCAGCCGATAGACGGGCTCCTTGAGCACGATGATGTCGCCGAGGGGCGGTTCGTTGTCGTGCGTTGGCGATGGCGTCTTGCGCCCCCTGGATAGCGCGGGCGAGGTCGCCATTCCCACAAACCCTAGCGCCTTAACGGCCACACACAAAGCCTTTCCAAAATTTTCTTTAGCTCTAACTAGTACAAAATTCTTCACAGTAAAATTACAAAAGAGAGGAAGCCCAGTTTGTTAAAGTAGTGTAAGCTTCTTTCGCCTCGCTCATATCAAGTCGGCCACATTCATTGGCATTTCATCGACTTGTGTGCTGTAGTATTGCTCGATATCTCGGAGGATTCGAATGTCATCGTTCTTCACGAAATTGATCGCTACTCCCTGCAACAATGGTGTGAGTAATGATCTGTAATCTTTGGCCTGTGTAAAACTACCTTTCTGCCGAACCGTCCAGAGCGTCCAATCCTGTGAATGTACAACTCTCGGCTGTTTGGAAGATCGTAGTTGATCACCAGAGAGACCTGGGAAACGAAAAGAAGTTAAATCCCATAGAGGAAACGAAAGAAAGACTCGAAGAACACACGCATACCTGTTGTACATCCAGACCCCGAGCCCAGACATCGGTTGTGATGAGCACCCGCGTTTGTCCCTCACGAAACTCCTTCATGATGGTATCCCTTTCTTTCTGCGGCATCTCTCCGTGCATCGACGACACGGTAAAGTTGCTGCTCCGCATCTTCTCCGACAGCCACTCCACCTTCCTTTTCGTGTTGCAAAAGATCACGGCCTGGGTAATGGTGAGTGTGTCGTAGAGGTCGCACAGCGTGTCAAACTTCCACTCCTCCTTCTCGACAGCCACGAAGAACTGCTTGATTCCCTGCGCAAGATGCCATGAATAAATATCTGGACTTTCGCAATCGGGCTCACCTCTAGCGTCAACTCATCACGTTTGACAAGGATGCGAACAGGATCAGTCATGAACTTGTTGGTCATCTCAAGAATCTCATGCGGTAGAGTAGCGGAAACAAGGACCACCTGTGCGCAGGAAAAAGCGATTAGCACGCCAACTAAATGGACGAAAAAGGAAAAAATACAAACTTGTAGATCCGGAGGTAAGTAGCGATAGCAATCGATGATTTGCTCTTTGAATCCCCTGCTGAGCATTTCATCTGATTCGTCCTGGAAAGCAGCACAAAAAGCATGAGACCCATAAATAAGAAAAGAGAAACTTACGCACCAGAACTAAAATCTTGACGTGTCTCGTCCTGAAAGTCCGGCGCTTGAGCATGTCGTAGACACGACCCGGGGTTCCAGACACGACATGAACTCCGTGCTCGAGCTTTCTAATGTCTTCGCTAAAACTCTTACCGCCGATACACGTATGAGCTTGAACGTTCATGTGGCTGCCCAGTGTTAGAACGACCTTGGCAGTCTGGTCGGCAAGCTCGCGTGTCGGCGAGAGAACTAGCGCTTGGACCCTGAAAAAATCGGATTTTTTAGCTCTTGCCCGCAAGAAAAGCGAAAAAAGAGCTTACTCTCTCACGCTAGTGTCAATGAGCTGATTCACCGCAATGCCGATCATGGATGTCTTGCCTGTGCCGGATTGCGCTTGAGCTATGACATCCCGGCCCCTCATGATCGGAATGAGCGCCCTCTGCTGGATCGCCGACGGCCGCTCGAATCCATACTCAAACACACCTCTGAGAAGGCTCTCGTTGATCCCCATCTTCTCAAACTGCGTGATCGCCTCGACGCCGGCGCTCGTCTCGAAGACGACGTGCTGGTCGCCATCTTCGTTCCCGCCGCGCCGCACCGCCGCCATGACCTAGCTCGGAGGAACCCTAGCCACAACCAAAAGCCCTAAATAGGGAGACGAACATTCCGTCAGGATAACTGACGGCACAGCCAAGCGGAATATGCCGGACGATCCAACGGTCAGGAATCGGCGCCCCTCCGATCGAGCATGCTGAGTCAGCATGGCCGCCCATGCCACGTATTGAAAGAATGCCCCTCCCCTCTAAAAAGACTGCTTTCTTTCATATATGCTTGGCTACTTGTTTGCGTCTCCATTCGCCATAGCCAGGGCAAGGGCAAGGGTTTCCTCGTCGTCGTCGCCAGCGCGCGCGCCCGCGCCCTAGGGTTTGGAGATTGCTCTGGCGCCAGAGGATTCTTCCAGTCGCGCCCCCACCAGCGGCGCGCCAGCGATCCATTCCGCCGCGGCGCCGCCCGAGAGATCCGCGCCAGGTACTCGCCGCTCCAGTCCCAGAGATTTGTGAATTGCGAGGTGGATTGCACCGCTTTGTCTTGCATTTTTTTGGTAACTGTTTGTGGTGCTTAGGTTTTTTTTTGTTCTTTGTTGTTTTTTCCTCTTTTTCCTTGCTGTGTGGAGCTCAAAGGTTCCTTGGAACTAACCCACGCATTCGCCGCAGCGATGTCCCACGCATTCGACCTCGTGAATTGGGAGTGAGACGTCGAGAGGAGAATTGATTGGTGGTAGCTTCAACTGGATCGAGGGATGGAACAGCAGCAGCAGCAGTAGCAGTGGTAGCAGAAGCAGCAGCGCTTCCTTCCCTGTGGGATCGATGGCACAGGAGAGCTGGAAGTGTGACCAGGACGAGACGGGGTGCCAGCCACCCGAGGGCCCGATTCTGTGCGCCAACAATTGCGGCTTCTTTGGCAGCAAGGCGACGATGAATCTGTGCTCCAAGTGCTACCGGGACGTGGTTCTGTCACAGGCCAAGGTGTCCACCGCCAAGAACGCGCTAGAGCAGCTACCGCTCCTCATCAACAACACCAACGCCAACAACAATTCTTCCGCCGCTACAGCCGCCGCCGCCACCACCGCCGCCACCATCGCCGCCGCCACCACCGCCACCGCCAACGCTACTGGCATGGATCAAGGCGTGGCACTGGACGAGCAGATCGTTTTACCAGAGGCTGTGACTACTTCTTCCGAGATGAATCCCTCGTCCGGTGACGGCGTGGCTGATGCCTTGGTGACTTCCCCGGAGGCATCCGGCTCGCGACCGCCGAATCGCTGCAATGCTTGCAACAAGAGGGTGGGATTGACGGGATTCAATTGCCGCTGCGGCAACGTCTACTGCGCTCTCCATCGCTACTCGGACAAGCACAATTGCACATACGACTACAAGTCCGTGGGGAGGGACGCGATTGCAAAGGCGAACCCGGTGGTGAAGGCGGACAAGATCGACAAGATCTGAAAGGCGAAGAACACAGGAATTCGAACAAAGAAAAACAGGGAAAAGGAGAAAGATCAGTGCTCGGCTTCTACAAGATCATCGTCTCATCATCACATTACACACAGGTTTACCCGTCCAAAAGTGGTGGAGTATTTATTCATCGTAGGGTGGTTTCTCCCTTCCTCGTCCCCCTTCTGCTAGGCACATTTTTATTTTTCTTTACTTCTTTTTAAATCTATTAATTGGAGTTGTGTGGCTTTTCTCTGCTGTTAATAACATTGTTTTAAGGTCTCTCTCTTCTTTCGCATCTTTTGTCGATCAACGTCAAGAATCTTGATAAACAAAACAAAACAACGCTCTTATCGACGAAAACAAAAGAGATTTGTCATCGCCTGCGCCTTGACTCTCTCCTCGTTTCGGTTCTAAATTCTTCCATGTTTTCTCGTATCCACAAGTGCTTCGAGACGAGCTGTTCCTTGGAGAGTTCGTCTGGAAATACAGCGAGAAATGGTCAAAAGAAATGATAAAAGGGCGGTTTTGCCTGGCTTACTCATGCTGTTCCAGGCCTTTGAATGCATTCCTAGGCTGCGCCGGGTGAGATATGCAGCGTCGTCCCAGGCAAGATCCAGCTTTTTCACTTGATATCTCCACAGCCATCGCAGTTGCCACAGTGCCAACTGCAAACGAACAGCTTGTTTTGTCAGAGAACAAATCAGAAAAAAAGAGGAGAAAAACCTTTCCGCAGGCGTAAGGAAGCAGAAGGAAGCGAACGGCAATCAATGTCCAGACAGATGGCCTCTCGATGCCTTCAACGTGCAGCTCCAGGGATTCACTAATCTCCTTCGATGCATCCTCCCTGGAAAGAAAAACAACGCAAGTTTGCCCACGCATATCGTAAGTGTCTGCATGTGTTACCTCTTTGTTTTGCTGCTTTTCTTCTTATTGTTCGTGCTGCCACCTCTTTCCAGCTCCAATGCTTTCAACCGGTTTTTGTAGGCTGGAGTTTGCTTCACAAGTTCCATCATCTACTCCGCACAGCCCCCACTAAGAGAAAGAAACAAAAGAATCGAGTTTTTAGATACCTGTTTGTACCTAGTCCACTGGTTTCCATACTGGAAGACCGACAAAATCACAAGTAGGCCGGCGAAGACGATTCTCAGGTCCTGACAAAAGTGTTTCCGTTGACACAATTTGACAAAAGAAAGTGATTAGATTGCCTTACCGCTTGAGGTCCATAGTATGCTTGATAGTAGCGAGCAGTGTTGTAGAAAAACTGTCACAGTAAATGGCAGCAGTTCGTTCATGGAAGTTCAAGAGAAAAACGTAAGAGATTCACCTGTTCAGGATGCGCGATAGCGTAATCGTATTGCTCTCGCTTGACATCGTCTTTGAGTATCTGAAAGAAAAGTTCGCAGCTTGAGAAAACAACAGAAACACGACCATGGCATACCTCATACGCAGTGGCAATCTTCACAAAGAGCTTCTTTGCATCTGGATCTGGATTCTTATCAGGATGACTGCGGGAATGCGTGGCGTTAGCCGAAACTCTGCTGAAAAGAAAAAACCGGAGAAGCACACCTACTATTTGAGTGAGAGCTTGTAGTAAGCCTTCTTGATCTCGGCTCCAGTAGCAGCCTGTGTTACACTGAAAGAAAAGAATTTCGTTGTAACAAACGAAAGAAGAAAGAAAAACCACTATGGATGGATCTGATCCTACTACATTATGCTTACCCGAGGAGATCGTAGCAATCATCGTCGCCGCAGTAAATCGCTCGCGCGGTCGAGAGCGATCCGGCAAAGACGAGGAGGAAGACGAGCAGCGCTGGAGCTGCCGCCATTGCGAGAGAGAGCCGACGAGCCCTAACAAGCCGCCATAAGCCCTAGGGAGACAGAGCACAATCAAAATCAAGAATCGATCGATCGACCAATCGCGGAACCGCGCGATGAGGACGTCCGCCTTTGCCCGCACGCTGGCGTGCCGCAACGCGCTTCCTGTGGTGGCCCCATTCCCCTGTCCGGATCAAACGACCGAAGAAGAAAATTTCGCCTGTCTCGCTGTCCAAGAACCCTAAAATAAGTAGCTAAACAACAACACACGCTTCCAGCATTGAACTGGCACAACACGATCGGTCCTCGCAACTCCTTCCTTCTACCTGTGACTGGCATACGGCGAGAATATCCCCCGATCGGATGCTCTTGGAATATGCCGGTCAACATTTTTAGCCGAGTAAATAGAATCTGAGGAGGGAGCAGCCGAATTCGTCCCCACTGCTACCTAGGTCATTTATTCCTCTCCCTCCCAGATCTGCGCTCTCTTGGCGGCGACTTCTCGCGCCGGATCGATCGATTGAGCAGGCGGCGGCAGCGGCAGCGGCAGAGGCGGCCATGGCGCTCAAGGATGAGCTCGACATCGTCATCCCCACGATCCGAAACCTGGATTTCCTGGAGATGTGGCGGCCCTTCTTCCAGCCCTACCATCTGATCATCGTCCAGGACGGGGATCCCAGCAAGACGATCAAGGTGCCCGAGGGCTTCGATTACGAGCTCTACAACCGCAATGACATCAATCGCGTCCTGGGCGCCAAGGCTTCGTGCATCTCCTTCAAGGATAGCGCCTGCCGCTGCTTTGGCTTCATGGTTTCCAAGAAGAAGTACATCTACACCATTGATGACGATTGTTTTGTAAGTTGGATCTCTTCACTCTTCCAGTTTTGGTCTTTTTATCCTTCTTGGTTTTTGAGATCTTACGACTCCTCGGCAATGCTGCTGATGAGAATTGGGATTAGTTTTCAGATCTCGGTGGCTGTGCCATAGATCTGTCGATGGGGTCACTTGAGCGCTTTAGTCTTAGATCTGTTTGGTGGCTGTCTAGATCCGGGCTTCCTGCATTTTTCCTTGCAGCTAAGTTAGGTGCACAGTCGAGTTTTTTGGTTTGTTGGTGCCTTGCTGGTAGACAGAATCTCTTTTTGGAGCTAACTCGGTGAGATCTGATGTTTCCCAGGTTGCCAAGGATCCTTCCGGCAAGGATATCAACGCTCTGGAGCAGCACATCAAGAATTTGCTGAGCCCTTCGACGCCGTACTTCTTCAACACGTTGTATGATCCATACCGCGAAGGCACCGATTTCGTCCGAGGCTATCCTTTCAGCCTTCGCGAGGGGGTGACGACGGCCATCTCCCACGGCCTCTGGCTCAACATTCCGGATTACGATGCTCCTACGCAGCTAGTAAAGCCAGCTGAAAGGAACACAAGGTAGCTTTTTTTCTGATCGCGATCTGTTCTTTCCTTTCCGTATCGTTGTCACTGATGTAAGATCCGCTTTACAGATACGTGGACGCTGTGATGACGATTCCCAAGGGAACTTTGTTTCCAATGTGTGGGATGAATTTGGGATTCAACCGGGAGCTCATTGGGCCGGCTATGTACTTCGGTCTCATGGGTGACGGCCAGCCAATTGGTCGCTACGACGATATGTGGGCCGGATGGTGTGCCAAGGTATGCAAAAAATCTCTTTTTGTCCTTGAGTTAGGCAGATCGAAGAGCTTTACCGCATTTTTCTGCTTTTTACACAGGTGATCTGTGATCATCTTGGCTATGGTGTCAAGACCGGCCTGCCTTACATTTGGCACAGCAAGGCGAGCAATCCCTTCGTCAACCTCAAGAAGGAGTACAAGGGGATCTTCTGGCAGGAGGAGATCATCCCCTTCTTCCAGAAGGTGAGCCTCCCAAAGGAGTGCACCACTGTGGAGCACTGCTACATCGAGCTCGCCAAGCAAGTCAAGGACAAGCTTAACGGCGTGGATCCTTACTTCGCCAAGCTCGCGGATGCCATGGTGCAATGGATCGATGCTTGGTCGGATATCAACTCTCCCGAGGGAGCGAAGATCTTGGCGAATGGCCCGTCCAAAGTGAGCTCCAGATCTTCGCCAGCGGCGTCCAAGTGATATTTCGATGGAGTTTCGGTGACACTAATGATTGATATGCTGACAACAAGAGCAAAGAGTTCCACTCCTCACCACTACACATATTGCGGGAAAAGAAAAGAAAATTATTTGCATAAGTTCTTGTATTGAGAAACCATCTAAAATCTATCATTTGCTTGCTTCAACTAAGGTCTATCTCGTTTAAACCCTTTCTCTTAGGGTTTTAGTAGCTATGGTGTGGCGCGGGAAGAATGTGACAAGGATTGTTCGCACTCGCGGCTTCTCCTCGGCTCCTTTCTCGCCGCCAGCAAGAGCTGCCGTGTATGAGCGCCATGGATCTCCCGATGAAGTTCTCAAGTAGGCATTGATTCGATCGGTCTGTTTGATGAGCAATATTTTTGTTCGCTATGGCGCCAGGATTGTGGATGTTCCAGGGCGTGCTCTCGATCGCCGGGAGGTGTGTGTGAAGATGCTTGCGGCGCCAATCAATCCATCGGACATCAATAGAATCGAAGGTATGGAATTTCTGGCAAGTAAGCTTAGAGGAATTTTTTCTTCTCTTGACGAGAGCGTATCATCTATCGCTTCTCTTTCGCTTTCATTCCCAGGTTTATGGAATTTTCATGTTTCCAGCTTTTTCCCGCCTTCGATTCATTGTCTTTTTTTTTTTTCCTGTGCTTTTTGTTCCAGGAGTTTACCCAATGCGGCCTACACCACCGGCAATTGCTGGTGGAGAAGGTGTTGGAAAAGTTGAGCTGGTTGGATCGGACGTTGAAAATTTACGTGTTGGTGACTGGGTGATTCCAACGTACTCCGGTGTCGGTAGAGACCTTTTGTCTTGTGTTTCCACAGCTTTACTCGTGAGTCTCGCTTGTAGGAACTTGGAGCACTCATGTACTCAAGGAAGAAACTTCCTGGTGTAAAGTTCCGGACGATGTTCCGATCGAATACCTGGCAACCATCTCCGTCAATCCGTGCACGGCTTTCAGAATGCTCGAGGACTTTTCTGCTCTAGAACCAGGTAAGATCGATCGTGTTTTTTGTTGAAACTAAAAATACTGATTGTATTGGTAGTTCAAATGGTTTATGCGCTCCAGGGGACGTCGTGGTGCAAAATGGAGCCACGAGCATGGTCGGGCAGTGCGTGATACAGATTGCTCATGCGAAAGGTCTACAAACAATAAATATCGTTCGTGACAGGTTCGTGCAACTTCATCACTCTTCATAACACAATGCGTACTTTCATGCGTGTTCCTTCTCTTTATTTTTCTTTTGGTTTTAGACCGGGAATCGAAGAAGCAAAAGAAAAGCTGATGAATCTGGGCGCCACCGAGGTCGTGTTAGACAGCCAGTTCGATTCTCCCGGCTCCAAGGACATCTTGGTAAGCATGCTATCACTTTCTTAAGACATTGCTCTAAGCAGTTCGAGGAAACAGGCTAATCGCGGGACTCCAAAGCTGGGACTCAACTGCATCGGTGGAGCATCTGCCGGTGCCGTCTTAAAGCTCCTGGCGTACGTAAAAATCTGGTTTTCCAGTCCTAACCAAATACCAAACAATTCCAGGCCCAGCGGTACAATGGTCACGTATGGTGGAATGTCAAAGAAACCAGTCATAGTATCGACGACAGCATTCATCTTCAAGGTACGGGAGAAAAGAATGAAAAGTTTTTGTGCTCGCAAAAAACTAACCAAGTTTCGAGTCACTCAGGATATTCGGCTTCGTGGATTTTGGCTCCAGAAATGGATCCAGGAACACAAGAGAGAGGAGATGGTGGCGATGGCGTCGAGTTTGATCGAGCTTGTCCAAGCAGGAAGGCTTAAATACGTGTAAGCTTTCTTTCTTCCTTGTTGCTAATTTCTAGGCTCTCTTTCTCCTTCCTGGCAGCACTGAAAAGATTGGTTTTGAGGACTTCGAGAGAGCCTTGAGAAAGGCACTGGGGAAAGAAGGGAGCGTACCAAAGCAAGTACTGGTGTTTTAATCAAGAGAAGGTTCCGGGAGAATATTCCACTACGTTCTGGGCTAGACTAGGTCATGGTCGATTTTCCCCTGAAAAATTATCATTAGCTCGCACTCCGGGCAGGCCAGGAAGCGATGGAAATTCCTGATGAAGATGATCCGCTGGTTCTCAAGAGTAAGAAGCGCAAGGCGGAGAAGCAGGCATCCAAGGCTAAGAAATCGAAGATCGAAGTCACTGAGAAATGCGAGATAATCGCTGCTCCAGCTGCTCAAGTTGCAAGGCCTGCTGTGGTGGATTTTGAGCCGAGGAGGTGAGCGCTGCTCTTGAGCGCGAGTAGTTTCGCTCACATTGTTCGTTTTCTGTGCATTGCATGGCAGCTATCAGCTGGAAGTTCTTGAGAAAGTTTTGAAGGAGAACACAATTGTTTTCCTTGAGACCGGGGCTGGGAAGACACACATTGCCGCGATGCTCTTCAATAAGCTAGCGGATCGTCTCTCGATGCCCGAGGAGAAGCGCATCGGTGTTTTTCTCACTCCGACTGTGGCTCTTGCTGATCAGGTAGTGTAACTCTTTAGTGTCTTTTGCTATCTTCGGTGGTGTGGCCTCACCTCATTGTTCTTGCAGCAAGCGAACGTTATATCGTCAAGCACACGTTTAAAGGTGGGGATTTATCATGGCGGCCAGATGGATACTTGGGACGTTAGAAAATGGAGCGAGGAGATTGATTCGCATCAGGTACTGGCGTTGCCAGCTCTTGTGGCCTTGTCGATCGAAATTCTCTTTTCAGGTGTTAGTGATGACCGCGCAAGTTCTGTTTAACTCGCTCCAGCTATCGGCAATCAGAATGGAAATGATCGAAGTTTTGATTTTTGACGAGTGCCACAGGGCTCAAAATAACCATCCATATGCTTCGGTCATGAAGGTATGCCTCGTGCTCTCTCCTGGATTCTTACTCGCTGTTTTGTTTCCAGACTTACTATCATACTTCGACGTCGAAACTTAAACCGAGAATTTTTGGAATGACTGGATCTCTCGTCGCAACGAAAGGTACAACAGTGAGCTTTTACAAATCTCTCTAACGTGATCTACGTAGTCTCTACCTGTGAGGATGGGAAGCTTTGCAAGGAGATGAGAGATCTTGAGAGCCTTTTAGACTCCAAGGTAATATATTTTTTGCGTGTTTTAATTTCAAACTAAGTGCTGGCTTTTCTAGATTTACACAATAACATCTCGAGCAGAGCTTGAAGAGAAAGTGCCAACTCCTTTTTACCGAAACTTATACTACGACAAAGCTCACCATTGTTTTAAAGAATTGCGCAGATGCCTCACTGATTTGTTAGACAAGGTAAATGTCATTGTCTATCTGTCTGTGTTTTACGTGGTTATTGCAGTATCAGCAAAGCAGCTGTGTCGGCACATGTCAGTTAAGCGACGAAAATAAAAAACGTTCCAAGTTTTCAAACCTATATAATGCGATCACAAGCTGCCTTCTCGACCTTGGTTTGTGGAGCGCCGTCCTGGTGAAAAAACTACATTTTTTAGCTGTTTTGGTCTCACTTATGTGTTGCAGGCTGTTGAGGTACTTCTAAAAATTGATCCAGAGGGTACGAAACCCTCAGTGGAGAATGAGGATAAGAATGACGAACAAAGGTTTTTGAAAGAAGCTTACAACATCTTGAAGAGTTTTGTGCCTGGAGGTTTGTGAGATGTCTTTCAGCAATTTTAACTGACTTCCTGTCCTAGACTCCGTCAGCAGCATATCAAGCCCCGAGGATGCCAAAAAGGCTGTCAATTCTGGGTTAATAACTTCAAAAGTTAAAGCATTACTCAAAATTCTAGTGAGATACAGGTAGACATTTGGCCAGCGTTTATACAATGGTTTGATTTTTTGTTTGTTTGGTTCTGGCAGAAATGTTGAGCCTTTTCGATGCATGATTTTTGTTGAGAGAGTGGTCGTGACACAGGTGCTTGCCAGGCTCCTGAGCACCTTTAAAGCTATCGATTTTTGCCGCACTGGCTACATTGTAGGGGTGACTGCCGATGGCAACACCACGAAGCATGTAGAAACAGTGAAGGCTTTCAAAAGTGGGGAGGTAAGGAGCGATCTTTCTTTTCATGCGTTCTCATTTTTGTAAGCAGTTGAATGTGTTAATCTGCACATCAGTTGCCGAGGAGGGTCTCGACGTGCAGTCGTGCAATTGCGTCGTGAGGTTTGATATTTGTCGCACCCTAAGGAGCTTTATTCAGTCGCGTGGCCGGGGACGGAAACGAGACGCAACCTATATGTTTCTTCTTGAAAGGTTTGATGTTCTTTTTTTAATATGCAAAGTTCTCACCGTACATTATCAGGGGTAACCTGGAGCAGGAGAGCCTGCTGATGGAACTGGTAAACAGTGAGGAGCTTATGAGGGCCGAAGCATTATCCCGAATGAGCAAAACTATTGAAATAACGCCATTGATCGACGCGGACTTGGACTTCTTCTACACGACCTCTGGAGCATGCATTAGCACCGATGGTGCAGTATCTTTTATCTACAGATACTGCAGCCAACTCCCAGGGGACAGGTCTGAGAGTATTGATATCTAAACGTTATAGATTGACAAACTTTTATTGCAGATTCTACAATCCCAAACCAGAAATCGAAGTCACTAAATGTGAATCTGATAACGAGGAGTTGTTCTCGTGTACAATAACGTTTCCTCCGAATGCCCCTCTTCATGTACTCACAGGGCTTCCAAAGCGAAACAAGCAGCTTGCGAAGAAGGTAGCATGTCTTGAGGCATGCCGGCAGCTGGACGCTTTGGGGGCACTAGGCGAACGACATCCACCTGAGGTCCGCGAAGAAAAGATGGCTTCGGAGGGTCCGGGACTAGGTACTCTGGTTCTTATGTGTTTCTTTACTTTACTTACCTGGTTCTTGTGAAGGCAGGCTCTACGAAGCTCAAGGAGCTATTTCCGTCTATCAAGTCCACTACTTACCAGAGACAATGGATAACGACCTCGACGGACATAGTTTTGCATATCTATGCTCTCATATTCCATCCGGAGGAGAATGGCTCAACGTATACAAATTTTGGTCTTTTATTTGATGCCGCCCTTGACGACGACGTCGGGAATATTGAAGTTAATCTCTATCTCACCAAGAACAGAGCTGTGAAAGCGAAACTTTCCTCTGCTGGGCAACGTCGGGTAGACTCTGTCCAGGTATGGGATCATGCCTTGCTTTGTTTGTTTACTATTGATGTTATATTGTTGCTGTCACCAGCTTGCTGCAGCGAAAGCTTATCAAGAGATCATGTTTAACGGAGCGTTCAGCAGGTTGGTGTTTCGGGAGGATAAGAACGACAGGACACTGGCAACGTGCTTGCTTTCCTCCACTGAGAAAGCGAATGAATTGTGGTCGGAGACGTACTTGTTGCTACCTATTCTTGATGGGAGCTGTGATATCGACTGGAACATCGTAACACGCTGTGCAGACGCTGCCAAGTTGCTACCAAGTCTGTGCTCCGAGCTGAACAAGACCGAGGTCTGTATGGAGAGACCCGATACCGGTCTTATTTACACAGCTAGTGGCCCTGTGAGTCCCGGCGCGCTACAAGACGCTGTCGTTCTTACAGTACACACAGGAAAGCTCTTCTCCATTGTCGAAGTTTTGGAGGATTTAGGAGCTCAGTCGACGTTTAAAGAAAACGAAGAGTCCGAGCCGTGCACTTACGAGGAGTTCTATCTTAGAAAGTACGTACTTCATTGTATCCTGGCTTGCTTACATTCTATTTCTCAGGCATGGGCGATTGTTGCGATATCAAACGCAACCTTTTCTACGAGTCAAACCAACGCATGCCGTTCACAACCATCTGCACGAGCCAGATCGAAAGAACAAACAAAGTACTAGATTTCGGTCGTTTTGGAAAGCTAACTGAATGGAACACCCTGTCTCTTTTATAGAACCAGCTGCCATCGTGAAAAACTTTGTGGAGATTCCACCAGAGCTTTGTCTCGTTCTTGGCGCAAGGAGTTCAATGATTCGATCTTTATATCTAGTGCCTTCGTTTATGTATCGCTTTACCGCGTACATCATCTCCTCCGAACTTCGGACAAAGTTCACAAAGCATTTTCCATGTGCTCACGCTTCCAAGGTATGTATGTTTTTCGTTCTTTGCCACATGTACAACGCTTTTTCCCAGATCCTCGAGGCACGCACAAGCTTGCGTTGTCAAGACGGTTTCTCATACGAAGGTCTCGAGCTGCTCGGAGACTCGGTTCTCAAGTACGCTGTAACCAGGAAATTATATCTTCTTCATTCGACCATGCACGAAGGTGAACTGTCCGATCGAAGGTCTCATGCCATATGCAATTCAACACTTCGCAAGCTCGCCGTAGCACAAGATTTACCGGTAAGCATATATCCGTCTGATATAAGACTCTTATCACTGTTCCCAGATGTATGTTCGGGACGAGCCTTTCTACCCGTCCTGCTGGGTCGGAGCGGGTATGTACCGCCAGAGAAGCAGAAAATGCTGCTGTCGACTGGACAACCTTGTGACAAAAGAATCAAGCAAGCCAAGACCGACAGATGCTACGTACTACGTCGGGAAAACTTGCGGACAAGGCCATCGATGGATGTGCTCCAAAACCACGTCGGATGCTTTAGAAGCTTTGATCGGGGCGTATGCTGTTGGAGGGGGCTTCGATGGTGCTTTGGAGTTCATGAAAGCACTGCAAGTAGATGTGGATTTCGACAGTGGTTTAATCGCAGCGAGCCAGCATCGCCCTGTTCCTTTGGATGCGGTTCAGTTTCATATGCCTGCCTTGCTTTCGTTAGAGAAAGAACTCTGTTACACGTTCCAGAACAAGGCGCTTCTGCTGGAGGCGATCACGCATGCTTCTACACCGGATACGGTTTTCTGCTACCAGGTAAGACGGCTGGTTTGTTTACTAATGTCAGATTTATCTCCGTTTTTATTTTCAGAGGTTGGAGTTCATCGGGGATGCTGTCCTTGATTTTCTTGTGACTCGACACCTATTTACGTCACACCCCGGTTTAAGCCCGGGATTGCTCTCGGACCTCCGCTCGGCATCTGTCAATAACGACTGTTTAGCTCGCGTTGCAGTGAAGCATCGACTGCACTCGTACCTTCGACACGGCTCCGCAGAACTACGAGCAAAGATAACTTCATTTCTGGATGTTTTAGACAGAGATCCGGAATGCAGTGTTATGTTTGGGTTCAAAGCTCTTTCGGGGCCAAAGGTAAAGTATCTTTAGTTGTTTTACGGTACGTTTTGTGACGCTCTCGACTGTGCAGGCCCTGGCAGATATCGTGGAAAGCGTAGCGGGGGCAATACTTGTGGATTCCGGCTTTGATTTCGAGAAGCTGTGGGTTGTATTGAAGCGGCTTTTGTCACCGTTTGTGACACCGGCGACGCTCTCATTCCATCCGGTTAGAGAGTTTCACGAATTGTGCAGTTATAAGAGCTGGGAATTCGAATGGGTCCAATCAAGCTCTGGTGCCACAGCAGAGATACTTTTAAAAGCTGGTGAGCAAAGGTTCACCGAAGTTTCAAGCATTAAGAACAAGAAAGATGCACGTAAAGACGTAGCAGAAAAACTGCTCACGATGCTTAAGGTAAATCCTCTGTTTCAGTTCCTTGTGGATCTGACTCGCTGAAAGCGCAGGACCTTGGCCATCGGCATCCTCGTTGGGACTCTTTAGCTCAAGAAGAAGATGGTGTTCCTTCACACGAAAATGCATTGGAATTGAAGGGGATGCAAGGTTGCTATAGCTTGAGACTTTCGTGAAAAAATCCATCCACATGATTTACTTTTCATTCTCAAATCTTTGTTTTCCTCTATCCAGATGAACAAATGCGACCTAGAAGTGGAGCAAACGAGCAGACTATATGCAACATGGAAATTACCAATTTCTCTGGACAAGGTATCATATTGTTGATGTTCTCATTCTTTTATTTGTTTCTTCATTATCCAGAGGTTTCAGAACAGCTGCCACTTCAAATTGATGTAACTGAGGAGCAGATGACATGCAACTTGACAATTACTGATTGCTCCGGACAGGGTAACGTAGTATCTAATTGCATCTCACTCTTTTAGTTTATTCTTTACTATCTAGATGCTTCAGAAAAGATTGATATAACTGAGAAGAATACACGGAACGTGGAAACTACTGATTACTCTGGACAAGGTTGCCACCACTTTTTCTTTCTGCGGTTTAACAGGTGAACTGCCTTACAGTTGAACACAATCAAGCTCATACTTCGTCCAAATGTTTTGTACCAATTCGCAACCTGGACGTTGATTTAGAGTCACTGACTGCGGTAAGAACAGGTAAAAGCTCCCCATGCCACTCTACTGTCTTAAACTCGACGCCTGTGTGCAAACAGAGATGACGAACTGTGCGATAGCTCTCCTGCAAGACTTTTGCAGCCAGAGAAAGCTGGGATCACCGAAATTCGAGGCAAAGGAAAGGCGTGGAGTGGCTCAAGGACGATGGTGAGCTCGGGGAAATGTCGTGTTTGTCCGACTGACATGGTTGCTACTGCGCTCTCTGCCAGGTTCTCGTTCACTGTGTCAGTGGAAATCCCTGGCGAAGGTTTCTTGGAACAAGTGAGCTGCTTCATGGCCAACAAAGAGAGAGCAATGGGCGATGCTGCCAAGAAGATGCTACAGCTGCTAAGCAGCTTTGCGTCAAGCAGCTGAGAAACTTTTGCAAACTCAGGCAAAAGTGTTCGCTTTTCTCCAGCACACTCCTCTCAAGCCGCAGTTTCTTCATGCTTGTGCTGTCCAAACCTTGGCACAGGGGGAACTATGTGTGTGTCTAACTAAGAAGCTTATTAAATCCTCAAATCTCTGCTTGGAACTCCTATTGACTTGGTGTTTCCACATTCCTGGAGGAGCTTGCCGTGCAACTAGAGAATATACATTGGTAATATGGGTCAATTCAAACTTGACTTGGTATAAGAGGGTAGTAAAATATTATATATCCTAGGATTTTGTTATGTAGGGAGTGATTATATAAAGAGATCTATAGTCTTTTCCAGAATTGGATGTCTAAAATTATTGGGAAGTAGTATCCTGTTGCCTTGGCAAGAGAGAATTTGACTCATAGAGGGCAAAAAATGACTTTTGGAGGAAATTCAAGTGGCACATTTAAAAAAACATCAATGAGGAAGAATAAGTTAAAGAGTTTTTAAAGTAGACTTAGTAAACTTTAGTACCAAGAAGAGCGTCAAAATACCTCAGCCGCCCTCCAAACCCTACCATATAATGATTTTGCCCTTTCCACAAAGCTAGAGAGCCCCACAAAGGAAAAGTTGATGGATTTTTAGTTAATATTTGGTAAAGGTCAAAGATAAAAGCAACTTTACAATTAACTATACCTTTTACAATTTGGAGGAGTTTCATTTGCAACCTTCATAAGTTTTATTTAGGCCTTCAGGGACATATTAACCCCATGAATGACATCTATGCCATTTAGCCTTTGCACTTGGTCCAAGTGCTCCATGTGTCAAATCCCATAACCAACACTTAAAAATACCACTGATATATCAACCCATTACGCTAAAGCCATGTTCATTCACCTTTGTCACATTGATGGTCTAAGACCACCTACATGTAACCGACTAAATTTTCTATTCTACTTTAGTTATTTAACCACACTTTTGACCACTTGGAGGAGTCTTACTTGGTCCAAATGCTCCACGTGTCTGATCTTAAAACTAACACCCAAAGGTACTATTGATATTTCAACATATTATATTAAAGTTATGCCCATTCACCTTGATCACTCTGGTGGTCCAAGACCACTTACATCACATACCCATATCTCAAAGACTAAGCTATCTATCAATGAATGGTCATCCCATAACCACACTTTAGCATCCTTAGAATGCATGAAGATATAAGGAACACCCTTCCTTAGTATCCCTTTTTATAGTTTTTACCAAATCCCCATCCACAATCATGCTCGCCTATATTGCCATTGGGTCAAGGCTTAAAGGCCTGACCACTAAGTCCTATTGACCTTTGGAACTTCCTCACCATGTGACTATATCCTTAGTTACTATATAAGAGGATTATTCCTTTTCTTTTCCAAAGTTTGGGAATTTGGGATAATATTTCAAAACACCATGGCCCTACACAAGCCTCGTGGGTACTCTCCCCACCTTTTACCCTTAGATGCCCTAGCCATATGGCTAGAGCGAGGTTTCAATGAGCCACATTAGATATCCAAGTAAAAATTGCCACCCACACTTGGATTAGGAGCATCAACTATTTTGATCTCCTGGGGGAGCTAGAATCAGCTCTTGAATACTTCACTAAGCTACCCTGCTTGTTTATTTGTATTCATTCTAGCCTTGAACTCTTTAGTGGATATATCATCACCCAACATATGGATATAACCTTCCTTGGTCACATTATCCTTTTCTGGCTAAACTAGCTTCACTAGAGTCCTCCCTCTACTATACTTTTGGAGTTCACCAGACCCAATAGGGTCTAGGAGACAATTGCTTTGGGCTTTCACCCTCGGACTCAGACTTGGACTTAGTCTTAAACTCAGTTTCGGACTTGGTCTCGGACTTGGTCTTTGTCTTGATCTCAGTCTTGATCTCTTTCTCAGCTTTAACCTTGGACTCCATCTCGAGTCCATCTCGAACTTGACCTTAGACTCCATCTCGGGTCGATCTTGGACTCCATCTCAGGTTCATCTCATACTCCATCTTGGACTCTGTTTTAGACTCCATCTCAAGTCCATCTCAGTCCATCTCAAGTCCATATCGGACTCCATCTCAGATTCCTTCTCAGACTCCTTTTTAGACTCGTTCTTGACACTTCCATATGTCATGACATTTGCCATGTGTCAATCCTTCTTGTGTCCCGTTTTAGAGACTCATTCACTGATTGCTTCATGCTCATTCCTCGAACACTTTGTTTGGAGTCCCACTCCCGCTTTCAACTTTCTGAGTTGGAGCTTTTGGTCCAAACATGTTATGTTGAACTTCTCCTTTGACCACTACTATATGGTACCCTTTTTGCTCCACTTTGGGGCTTAGGGATTTGTGTCTCACAACTTTATTACCTATAAACAAAGTTCGATATCCTCATCAAATAATAAACCATTTTATAAAGTAACCTCATTATGGATTACCATTTTTCATCCTTAGCACCAAGTTAATATTTGTCATTGGTTTGACATTTAAAGCTTACCATGCCTTACCTATCCTTTAAAGAGCATAGTCTCTTCAATTTAGAGACTTATTAGACCACTTTTAATGGTTCTCTCCCTTTATTTGGTTTAGTTCTTGCTGAACCTATTAAAGACATCTTCTCTATCTCAATCTAATTACTCATTCCTGAGTAGTTTTAGCTTCTATCAATATAACTATCACACTTTGGAACTTTTAATTTTGACTTCTCAAAGTCAATTTCTTGGGTGTCTTCGACACCTTGCATTGCACATATTGTGTAAACTCCACTTCCCCATCCTTGAAAATTTTTTACTTGAGAGCACCATCATCCTCTCTTCTATTTTATGCCACTCTAGGCACTAAGTTCCATTTATCCATAATTTGTGCTAGGGCTATCCACAGTCCTATCGTTTGGCTTCCTTGCCATTCCCTCCTTTGAAGATTTCACCTTTGCCAAATTAGAGCATTTGAAAATCCATCATTGGAAATATATTTCTTTTCCCACAATCTGTTAACATCTAACACATGAGTGTTGCTTGCCTAACTTTATCATTTAAATTCCTTCCAATGATTTCTATGGCCCAATCTTGGCACTAGTCTTTTGCTCATATCCTTTGATTATTGCACTAAGCTCACTACTTCCATTTTCGAGGTATTCTTTCAGTTCCATAGCAAAAGCTTTGCTTTGCCAAGTCCAAAGGGTGTTCATCCCTAGTAAATCTTTTTATTATTTTCTATTATAGGCTCTATCCACGGCCTAACTTTATGACACTCCCATGGGTCTTTCCACTTTCTTAGACTCAATATACTATCGCATTGACACAACTCTACTTTGCCAAATCTAAAGGGTGTTCACTCTTAATAAATTTTTTTAGCATTTTCTACTATGAGCTCTATCTATAACCAACTTTATAACCTTCCCATGAGTCTTTTCTATAAACTACTTTCTTGGATTCACTATGCCATTGTATTGACACAACTCATTTTCCTTATCTAAAGGGTGTTCACTCTTAGTAAATTTTTTTAGCATTTTCTACTATGAGCTTTATCTATAACCCAACTTTATAACCTTCCCAAGGGTCTTTTCTAGAAACTACTTTCTTGGATTCACTATGCCATTGTATTGACACAACTCATTTTCCTTAGGTGTCTGTAAGTTCCTGAGTTTGGACTTCCCGGGAGGTCACCCAGCCCAGTACTATTCTAACCCAAGGACACTTAACCCCAAATATCCCAAGACCCTTAATCGATTGGAAAAGGGGGTGCACTCTTGTTCATGGGCCCTTTCCCTCTATATTTGAACCCCATGGATCGTCTCTCAAGTCGTTCCCTTTGGTTGCTTACAGTGTCCTTCCCACTTGGTCACCTCCACTAAGTCACACTATTATTAATAGTTCAAATTAACACTTTGAACTAGAAACATTATTTTTTAACTAAACAAGGACCTTATCCTTATTTAAGATCACCTAGTGATTTCATCTTGACACATTAAAAAATTTGCCAATAGATACTAGGTCTTCCAAACTTTTAAGTTGTTGACCATGACCCCGAGGGCACCCCCACACTTGGTGGTGCACCTAAGTTAGCCCTTTCAACTAGCGGTCCATAGCAACTGAGACTTGGTATCCCCATTTTATTCATCATGTCTTTGATACCACTTGCACCAAAGTGTTCAAATTAAATATGTTAAGCTTTCACACTAAGCAATTTAACCATGTATCATGACTCTAGGGCATCCCCCACTTGCTGGTGTTCTCAAGCCAGTCTCCGTTCATGACCACCGAAAAATGAGTGTCCTCATATTCTAAACCATCATTAGACTCTAGTGAGTTGGGACTCGAACCCAACTTTGAACTCAACATTAGAGGGTTGGGACTCAAACCCAACCTTCATATATGCTTCTACGAACGGCATCACCCAGGAGGCCTGGTGTGACTCCTCACGCCGGTGCACCAATTTATACCCAAAGCATGTTACAGATTACAGCTTAGGAACATAATTCCTCCGAACTACTAAGTCCTCTCACTTGACGAGTCATACCACCCTTTTTGAAATTAACACCTTCAACTAGGGTTTTTGTTCCCCCGATTTACATTTAGTAAGTCACTCGTACATAAGTATAAAAGTTTTTAACTATTGACTTTTGTTCAAAGCCATCTCTTTGAACACTCGGGAACTACTTCCCCAATCTTGATAGCTTTTCCTTATAACAACCTTCAAGACTATGCTTCTGTTATGCCACTCTAATTTAACGCGTTCTATGAATCATTTACACTTGTCTTTGTAAGTACTAACCTACCTAGAATTGGTTTTGGGAACTTTGAAGGGACTATGTCCTTTAACTTGCTAAGGCTTCTCTTTTTATAAACCTTTTAATTGTCATATAGTCTAATATAGACAATTCTATGATTGGACTCTCCATAGCATCACAGTTGCTAATAGTAAAACTTTCGAGCACTCACTTAATTCTCCTCTCCTAATTTGCATAACTACCCTTAGCTATGCCCTTTGATTTCTATGATTCGGTTTTATCCTTTTACAATTTATTTTTGGTCTTACACCTTCCCTTTAGTTATTCTCTTCTTGACTAGGAGGGTAGTTTTGCAAGTTTTACCATACCTTAGTAGGTATTTTTAGAGATGAACCTATTTAATGATTTAGGGAGTGGTTTTGAA